CTCTCTCTCTCTCTCTCTCTCTCTCTCTCTCTCTCTCTCTCTCTCTCTCTCTCTCTCTCTCTCTTTCTGTATCATACACACATAACATGCAATGAGAATTAGTGTAATATGTAGTGGTATAATAATTGGTATTAACATTTCAATTCATGACAGTTTAGAGAAAGGTATCATGATGCTAGCAATAACTTATATGTAACAAATTTGCAGTCACAAATTAAAACTGCTACATTGACATTACCGTAACGGACTCGTCGATGGTTAATGTTCACGCTCGAGCGTTTCCGGTGATTTTGTATGTATTTTCAATCATTTCATACGGGATTTAAACAGTCGAGCTATAAATTCATTACAAACACGCGTGAACAATTTATGCATCTCGCTGTTGCGGCGGCATTTGTTCTCGTGCAATTACACGCGCCACGGTCGCAACACGAGAAAGCCTTCGTATAACGTCATTGATGTACCTCGCGCAAAAACCCATGACCCGTGCCACGTATTGGAAGCAACGCAGCGAATTAACCTTAATTTTATTTTCCATCGAACACTCCCTATGCTCGGCTAAACTCTGCATCCAATAGTCACTTCCTGACGTAACTTGTTGCGAGGAAGCAATCGAATGTTTCATCGTTCGTTATTTGTCATCCCTGTAGGTAGCAGGGGAATAATTTATCATCTGTTTTAACATCGAGCGTCGCGAACTCATTGCAATGTTGTTGTTATGATATCGCAACATTGTATTCACGATTTTATTTCACGATTCGTTCGAAAAAGTAATAACATTATATTAGTTAATGTCAAACTTAACGATAAAACAAACTCCCAATTACGTGGAGCGAGGAAAATTGCAATATCAAGACTGCATAAATTTAATTTTAAATTAGTCGCGAAGTGCAGCTTATATATAATCGCGGTATACAAATAATTAAGTTCTCGTGAAATCTAATATGATCTCATATATCTTTCGGCAGTGCGACTATCTTAATATTGCACTTTGTATTCAATTACTGCGAGATTATCGTTATCATTCGCATAAAATCGGCATTACGTGAGACGCTTACAATTTCGGCGTTATGATAATACTTGGGGAAAAAGAGAAAGACGGCAATTCCAGAGATAAAGATACAAGCTGCATGTAAAACAGTGCAAATTGAGCCATATGCATGGTAATATACTGCGTTTATGGAAACGTCTAAAACAAATTTCCCGACATGCAACGGTCATAATCTAAATTTTTACGACCTTGTGTGCACCTCTAATAACACATAGTAAAACGCATCCACATCTCTCGACTGTACTAAGCAGAGAGTTAAATGTAGAGCAACGAGAGAATCGCAAAAAATTGGTAATCTATTTTTAAACTACGTGATATAAAAGAGATATATAGGCTCTCCCGCAATTTTTTCCCGCAAAATGGTATAGAACTTTTATGTTCAGCTCAATCCGTTCTACGTTCCTGCAAAAATTGCAGAGGAGAGTCTGGGATACTCTGTATACGTAAAAAATTCTAGTGGGTAATATAAAATGGAGTCGGTTGTGAATCCTCACATATATTTTCAATTTATATAATATAAAATCAGTTTATGTATATAATAAAAAGTTTTATTTCTCTTCTATAACTCCGTCATACTTTTCATAAAAATTTGTTGGGACAAATTTTTCCAGTTAAACGTGCTGTAAAACTATTGCTGAATTGAACCGTGCCAAAATACGACGAGCAGCGCGCCTTTAGTTGTCATACGCTACGCAGGACGCGATGAACAATGTCCGCAACGTTGCACCGGAAATAAGAACCGGCGCGTACGAGTTGACCATTGTCATTTAGTAACCCTCCGTTCCATTTGATTCTATTCACGCCCCAAGAGAACCGGATGTGAGGTCAGCCGCGGCTCGTTTAAGTTCGAAACCGCTCCGACGACCGTACAAAAAAGAAAAAAGAGAAATGCGTGAACATAACTGCCTTTGTGATGTAGCATGGTTGGAACATAACTCGCCATATTAAACTCTATACACTATCACCTCTTCTTCTCGTGATATCCGCATTGAGTAAGAAACGTGGATTTATGTTTACGAGTTATCATTTTTTTTGTTAGGGGAATATACTGAATTAAAAAAAGAAATTCAGATACGTATGATAACAATTTTCAATGTAGGGTTTTCGTTAATTGAAAGTTCTTTTAATTAACTTTTAGTTTCCTATCGGAAAGTCGCGCCAATTAGTTAAACGCTAATTAAGCCCCGGCAAGGAAAAATCGTATAATTACCTGTCGGTTATTCACTAAGTAAGAATAAATACATGCGTTATTGCTTTCTTCAAATCTGTAGCTGACTTTTTAAAAATACTTTACACGATCCGAAAATTTGTTTTTCACATTTTTCAGCTCTTCCTCTTTCTCTTACTCTGTCGCGGTACTTATTCTTTCATGGCCCGATATAGTTAGAAAGACGTAATGTACTTTGGAAAGAGCACTCATCCGCTATTCCACCAACTGTTGCGTTAATAGCATATGAATTTTCCGCTATTGCACGCAACAGTAATAAGTTCACATATGTCCCTTTGCACCGTAGCAGAAACTCCCAAGTATCTCTGTGCACAGAAACCGCGCGCTCGCAACAAGACAATACCGCAGCCTGTTTTCAAGAACTCAATCCACCGCGCGGCAACTGTTCTCAACAACGTACGGATCTCGTGTCGCCAGGAACCTCCCGCAACCAGTTCGCGTAAGAGTTTACAATTTGTCAGATATATCCCGGCAAACCGCTTGATATCGCGACTTACGCATCCGAGAGGCCAATTCAAATCTAAAACAGCTCGTCATCGCTAACGCGTGCAAAAGAAATCTCGAGGCCATCCATTAACGACTACGGCGAGAACTTCTCCTCTCGCGAACAGCTTTTGAACGCGTCACGTATCAACGATAACCCTTAAACACAGCGGTTACTTCCTGAATAATGTAGAAATTCAAGAAACATTCGCATGATATTCTTTGAACTCACGTGATCGAAGTAGTGTCGTAACCATCGCATGCATCGACACCGCGCTTCGATATCGAGTAACCTCGCTCAATACCTATTCGAGTCCCCTGAATGACTTCTTGACAACTGAATCGCGTCAGTAGCGGCGATACGTATTGAATTGACCCAGCACTATGTCATCCCTACCTATCAGTCGTGGCCTCTACTCGCATACACTCGTGCAACCCGTTCATGCGCTCGCGCATTACGTCTCTCTCACTCTCTCTCTCTCTCTCTCTCTCTCTCTCTCTCTCTCTCTCTCTCTCTCTCTCTCTCTCACGCACACGCGCGCGCGCACTCTTCGTTCTCTATCTCTCCCAACGCTCCCAATCTCCCAGTCATCTGCCTAGGTCCTCCTCGGCCTCGAGAAGTCGAGATCTCGAGTCTCTCGGAGGGACATAGTAGTCGAGAGCCCGTGCGAGCAGATGTGCGCCAGTCGCAAGTCTACATTATACGGTTAAGTCGAACGAAACACGACACCTAATCCCTCCTCGAAACGTATTAAATGACTGTCCTTAACTGGAACAGCCAGCTCTCGAGCACGGAAGACGATACGCATCACGCCCTACGTGCTACGCACTTCCCTTGAAAAGAAATTCGGTTTATTCCGCCAGACTGACCGTGCGAGATCGACGATGCACTCGCGGATGTAATACACCCGCATGTGAGACCTCTTCGCCGAATCGTGCTCTTCATCTCTCTTTCGGAGACGACCGTCCGGAATAACATCTCGGGTTTTTCTCAAGGGAGAACGGGTTAACTGCCTGTCGCTAGCAGGTGCGCTTGATCTCTTTAGGAATTATCTTTTAAATTGGTACATTAGGTGGAAGATGCTTGTTTACATTAAATTTGCGACGACTGCATGTGACGTAGCCGGCAAATGCATTCGCAAAGGATGTCTTTGTTATTTCAGTCACGCCGGCGGGTGTCATTAGTTTCAGTGATAATTTACATTAAAGGTAGATAGGAGAACGTGTCAAGTTGGGTTAGATTTTAGGATTTATGAAGATGATTACAAAGATCGTATTATGCACTAATAGATAGAGAGAAAGAATAATGATAATTATCGAGATAAAATCGAAATTAGCAACTAATGTAAATCTGCTTTTTAATGAAATTTAAGTTGAAAATATTATTTGCGCTACCACACATATTCTTCAATTATCGACGATTACGGCTTGAAAATCAATGATTCATACCATCTTATTCCGGCCTACTCTGATATGTATAACCGGATATGAAACATTTATCATATTTACTTATGTATCTTCAAATTAAGGATTAATACCGCGAAATGACACGAACTGGGAAGGCAGCTGTTTGGAGAAATTATCGAACAGATGCTACGTTGACTATATTCAACATTTATTCGGACACTGTGCGAGTTAATTA